ATTTTTATATGAATAGAATTATTTTCTGTTGAATAGTGACATTTTCCTTCTAAATATTTAAACTGTTTTTATAATAATACTATTGTTTTAGTATTTGCTTATATAATAATAATTTATTATATAGAGACAGCGTAGAGTTTTGGTCAATCATCCAGTACATTTTTTTTTTGTATTTCAATCAGAATTATTATTTACTTTTCTTCTTTACATGATCTCAGAGTAATAACCAACTATTTTGCAGTATTTGAATATGAAGTTTAATTATTTATATTTATTGGTTAGCAACCTACCAATCGTAAAATCAAATACTGCTCAAAGAAACAATGTACAGTCTCGGAACCGGATTGATACTATGAAGAGGACTACGGCAAGAAATAAGGACAAGCGAAAAACATCCAAAGCCCAGATGAGAATTACTTGGAATATCAGATCACTCAACTCAAGGGACCAAGAAATAACCCAAGTGTTGAAAGAGAAAGAAATAGACATATTTGTGCTCTACAGCAAACAAAAAATAAAGGAAAAGGTCAATCAAAATTAGGTGAATACATACTAATCTACAGTGGAGTAGCAAAAGAAAACAGGGCCAAAGAAGGTGTAGCCTTACTAATACACCAAAGGTATCAAAATTACATTAAAGAGTGTCAATACATATCAGAAAGATTAGTAACATCAAAGATAAGAATGGAGAAGGAAAACCTGAACATTATCGGAGTATATGGCCCAGAAAATAATAAGCCTCAAACAACAAGAGAAGTGTTTTACGACCAAATACAACAAGTAGTAGATCAAGTCAAAGAAAAGATGATAATTCACAGCTAATTAGATTATAATAATTAAGGAACCTCATTGATGCCATGTTAAGGAATGGGATTTGTATTTTTTGTTAAAAAATTTGGACAAACATTGTACCTTTACAGGACCCTCTACGAATTTTCAAAAATGTAGTTCAAATGGTTACTAGGAAGAACCTACAAATCCATACCGAACAAGCAATTTCAAACTAATAAAATTTTCTATATCTCCGGATCTACTCAATGGATTTTGATCGTTCTTTTTTTAATTTGTATGTAATTTCTAAGTACATCAGAAATTAGTAATTAGGTTATATATTAATTAATTATTAAATAGTCTAGTTTGTTTAAACCATTCGTGCAAAAACAATTTTCTTCCAAAAATCTATTTTTTTTAATACTAGTATCAATAATCATAGAAACAATCGCGTTTTTTGCATTAAATTGTCAATAATTAAAAAAAAAGCTCCAAATTCAAGGCAAGAAACAAGTAAGTTTTTTTCTTATAGGTCTACAATAACTAAAAAAGTTGTCAGCGACCTGGATTATTGAGTATCACGAACATGGTCTATTTTTTGCTTATTTCCCTGGAGTATATATTTGATTAACATCTGTGTAATTTCTTTGTCGCTTCCTCGGTGGTTTTGCATATTGCTATGATAGCAATATCTTCGGTAAATGTTGCAATTGTATATTTTCTAGGACAATAATATAACACGTATACAAAAGGTAAAGACACTTCTTTGTGGCAGCCCTGCTGTAATATCTTTCAATTCCGTGTATGTTTCTTCCTGTTTAATTCTGAAATATCTTTCCAAGATGCAGGAGTCAATTATTTAAGAATATCGTTTTGGTAAATGTAGTCTTAGTTTATAGTTATGGCGTCTTTGCCATACTTTATCATATACCTGAGTCACATCCTAAATTATTGATATAAGGTTGAATGCTCGAATAAATGAACTTTAAAAAATGAAGACAAATTTTGAGCACAAATATAATAATCAAATCTTGCCCAAGTACTTTCGCTTTCTACAGCATCATCAGGGGCATCTGCGCTTGCTGGATAACCCAAATTTGACGAAGTAAGTCTAAAATCACAAAAAACTTTTATCATCCATTAACTTCGAGTTTTTTTATCGAAGTTTAGTAATTTTCTTTATTAAAAAAAACTTTTCTTGGCTTATTTCAGATGCCCCTGATGATGCTGTAGAAAGCGAAAGTACTTGGGCAAGATTTCATTATTAAATTTGTGCTCGATATTTGCCTTAATTTTTCAACGTACATCCTAAAATGTCCATATTATCCTTCATGATCCATATTTCACGTCCGTATAAATAGTTATACAGTATATTTCATCATCATCATCATCATCATCAATGGCGCTACAACTCTTCGTAAGTCTTTGCCGCGGTTACTATTGCCTTCCATGTTTGTCTGTCCTGTGCCAGTAATTCCCATTGTCGCTCTCTCATTTTCTCTAGATCTAGGAGTATATTTACATATAACAAATTAAATCCTTAGTTGTAAATTTTTGAAATAAGTACTCAGTATACATCTAAGTTTCATAAATGCTCCTCATAAATCTCATAAATCTAAACTTTTGTAATCCGTTCTTTGTTGACAATTAGTTGCATAGGACCGACGTTTACTAACCACAAGCACATAAGTAAATTATCTTATTTCTTTCATTTGACAATAATAATTGTCTGTTGGATTAGCATTGTAAGAAGTAAATTAGTCTCTTACTGAATATTAATAAACAACACATAAAACTTATTCTGAAACCATTTCTTGTGTCATGTTATATTTTATTAGATTTTGGTGTAATAAACCACAACCTATCAAATTCAATATCAAAAATCAAAATTGGAAATGATAGCGTGACTAAATTATTCCTTTCTTCAAGAAATTTTAAAAATAATTGATTCCTATTACTATCCAGTGCAAGGACAGTTATTTTGTTATTTATATCGAATAGAGAATACTGTTAGTTTGCGGTATGGACCCCAAAAAATATTTTATTCGAAAAGATTGATAAATATTATGGAACTGTGGGAAAATATGCTACAAAAATTTCAAGATTTTTATTATAATTTTTATATGAAACACCTTCTGAAGAAACATTAGACATAATTCTATATTTATATAGTTTCATTTTATCAATTTTAATGATCGTCATACTAATTAGATGATTTTTATTATAATTTTTATTTGAAACACCTTCTGAAGAAACATTAGACATAATTCTATATTTATATCGTTTCATTTTATCAATTTTAATGATCGTGTTACTAATCAAATTTTTATGATATATATTAATAATCTTTTTTTATAATTTTTATTTTCCGTAAATTTTAATCTACGTTTAAATTCAGACAGCCAATTTTTCCGTAAAAAATAACAAATAAATTATGTATGTACATTTGTTACATTGTAAATTTAAGAATAGATTATATTTATTACTTTGATCTGTTATTATATTTACTCAAAACACCACTAAAGGGATTTATGGTTTTATTGTAAGCCAAAACCTGTCACTGCAGGGTTTGTCCCGGTGAACGCATTTTTGACCTGGGCTTGAGAGAGATATTTAAACGAAATTTAGAATATTACTTCATGAACAGATTTTGTTTTCGTAAAAAAAAATTTCGAAATAGAGATAGCAAACTGAAATTTACCGTTAGGATTTTCGAGGATGAGCCTTAATGGAATCCTCCACAAAGCTTCAAAATGTATGTAAAATCGGTCGGCTTTGAAACTCTCGGGAGCTGAAGGGAGGGGGAAGGCGCTGTTAACTGTATCTCTGTTCCTTTTTTATGTATTTCAACGTTTCTTTTTGAACTTATATGTAATTTTTGCGTACATTACGAATATGCAATATTTCAATAAATAAATTGTCAAATAAATCACCTAATTTGTTTAAAAACAATTTTTTTTAGTATTATTTAAGTTAAGTTTGAATGTAAAACAGAAGTATGTGTCATTTCCTATATTTTGGGGAATAAGCCACAATTTAAGTTTATAATAATTTTGTTTTTGACGTTTCGATTTCTACTTCGGAAATCTTTCTCAGAATACAGAACATTAATAAATTAATCCAATTTTTCTTTTTGGTTACTTTAAATTTGGTTGGAAAATTTTTCTGATAACTCTTCTGGGTGATTGATTAGGATAAGGAAGCTCAGTAGATCTGTTATAGTAAAAATTACAAAAAAAAGTTATTGACAAAAATTGTAGTCAGTTTTAAACTCCACATTTTAAAATTAGTTACAATCTAACAGGGTGTTCTATAAGATGGTGGCAGACCAAACTTATGTTTTCTAAATGAAACACCTTCTATTTTATTTTAAATTTGAAATCTGCTTCACTTCCACATCACAACAATGTAAAGTTTTATTATGTTATACCGGGTATTTAAAAAGTTATAAAAAATATTACCTGAAAATCGTATCAAGTTAAACTCCCTGTATAATTAAAGAGGAGTATAGGACCATTTGAGGGCCATTGAGACATTGAGAGTTTGGGTTTAGCAGCCAAAGCGAACACACCTGCAGACAACGACATCGACGAAAATAAATTCGCATATCGGACCTTTTCACGGTGTCGGAAGTCAAATAATAAATACAAGTGATTAAAGTAAAATATAGATAATAAGTGTTTATAAAAAAGAACTTTCGATGCGTCTACTTTGAAAAAATAAACGTAATTTAATTAAAATAGTGAAAGTAGCATTGATAAGGAAATTAGATTTCGGCAAAGTGACAAAAAGACAAGAAATATTTATCGGTTGGTTTTTAAGATCATTAGTCAGATAATTAAGTAAACAATACAACAGGAAATCGTAAGTAAGCAGAATTTTAGTTTTAATAGGAATAATAGTAGCTTTGATACAAACAATATAAACATATAGCTAGGGCCGGCTTTTGAGTTTTAGGAATAAAAGTATGGAGTATTGGACGCAGCCAGCGCGGGTATGGGCGGAAATTTGAATTGAGTAGAGTTTTCGCGCAACTGCACCCATGACGCAGTGACTAATAACCCTAGCAGAGAAAATTACTATAAATACAGAACAATGAATTCAGATGAGGAGTTAACTGACGAAGGAAAAAGGAGGAGAGAAGATGATGAATATTACTCCAGGAGATAAAAAAAACACCGAGAACCCCACAAAAAAGAGAAGAAGAAAACACAAGTGCAATCGACCAAATGATGAAAATGATGAAAGAATTAGCAATGGATGTAAAAGACATAAAAATAGAACAATATAAATCACGAGACGAAATTACGCAACTAAAGAGGGAAATTACAGAACTAAAAGATCAACAAAGCGACTACAAAGATGAAATAAGAAAGTTGCGAGAAACAAACGAAAAAGATATTAAACAAATAGGCCAATTAAAGAAGGAAATTACTGCAGCAAACGAAAAAATAGAGAATCTGGAGAGAGAAAAAAAGAGGAAAAATGTAGTAATACAAGGACTAAACATTGACACAAATGATCAAAAACTATTGCGAGAGGCCGTAGAGAACTTTCTAGAAAAAGAACTACAAGTGTCAGTAGATGTAAATGGAGTGAGGAAAATAGGAGAAAATACTGCCTTAGTGGAACTTAACAGCGTGAAGAACAAAATTGAAGTAAAGAAAAATAAAAAAAAACTAAAAAACAAAACAGACGAGCGAATCTACATAAATGATGATATGTCAAAGGAGGAAATAATTATCCAGAAAGAAATTAGAAGTAAGGCTATGGCAGAGAGATATAATGGAAAAAATGTAAAAATAGGATTCCAGAAGCTAATCATAGATGGAGAAATATGGACATGGAATAACAGCCAGCGACGATTAGTATAAGATAAAAATGTAAAACCAAAAAACTAACAGCAAAATTTAAACAGGCTAAAATAACGAAGACGACTTGGCAATATAAAGGTACAAAAGATGAACAAAATGTAAAGATCATTACTGGAAACAAAGTAATAAACGAATGCATATTAGTAGGGACATGGAATGTAAGAGGAACGTACGAGGAAGGAAAACTAAAACACATAATCGACGAATGCAAAAAATACAAGTTCGAAATAGTGGCACTACAAGAAACAAAACAATTAGGGCAAAACTCAATGGAAATAAACGACTATTTATTTTTCAACAGCGGGGAAGAAAATAGAATGTTAGGCACAGGCTTTGTGGTAAACAAAAAAACGGAAAGATCTAATCGTTAGTTCCAAACCAATTTCAGAGAGAATATGCGTATTAAGAATAAGAGGAAAATACCAAAAAATAACATTTATAAATATACATGCACCGACTGAAGATAAAAGTATAGAAATAAAGGAAGACTTTTATAATCAAATAGATACAGTATTCGAAAATATTCCCAAATACGATGTAAAAATAGTGCTAGGTGATAGTAATGCAAAATAGGAAAAGAAGAAATATATGTACCCACAATAGGAAAATACACCTTGCATGAAACAACGAATGAAAATGGCCACTTCCTAATTGATTTCGTGAAAGAAAGAAATATGATCATTATGAGCACGTACTTCCAACACAAAAGAATACACTAAGGAACGTGGAGATCACCGGATGGAAAAACCATAAACCAAATTGATCATGTGCTTGTCGAAAACGATATGCAACGATATCTCAAAATATAGATAATGACATATGGGAATATCAATGTGGATTCAGAAGAGGGCGCAGCACAGTGGATCAAATTTTCCTACTGCGCGAAATACAAGCAGAAAGCTACGAATATGGGAAACCTACAATGGCCCTATTCATCGACTTTAAACAAGCGTTCGATAAGAACGTAAATAGATAAGAATGGTAAAAGTGACACTCCGAAGAACAGAGAATAGGGTTAAAATAAATGGAGAAGAAACAGATAAGTTTGAGGTCAGTGAGGGGGTGCGACAAGGAGACCCACTGTCATCACTGTTGTTCAGTATCGTCCTCGAAGTTACCATCAGAGAAGCTGGAATCAACAGGTCAGGACTTATATATCAAAGAAAACACCAATGCTTAGCATTCGCTGACGACATTGTACTGATAGCCAGAAGTAAGCAAGAATTAAAAGAAATAATAAAAAGATTAGAAATGAAAGCGAGAAAGAAAGGGATGTACATAAATGAAGAAAAGACCAAATATATGGAATGGACAGAAAGAGATTACCTACAAGAACAATATCTGACAAGATATCAATATCTGACCTACCTGGTCAATAACAGATGAAAAAATATATGAATTCGAAGTATTCCAGTATTTAGGAGCGACATTCACGAGAAGACCAAATATGAAGGAAGAAATCCAAGCGAGAATTATGGCCGGTAACCGTTGTATTTTTGCAGTAAACAATTTATTAAGAAGCAAAAACATATCTAGAAGGGCTAAGATAAGAATATATAAGACAGTAATAAGACCATTGTATTATATGCCAGTGAAACATGGACAATGAACAAATCCGAGCAAGTCTTGCTGCAAGTCTGGGAAAGAAAAGTCCTTAGGAAAATATTTGGAGGTAAATTATGGAATGGTATATGGATAAAAAGACCAAATATGGAATTAGAGGAGATGTATGGATCCCAATATCGTAGGGATCATAAAATCACAAAGACTGAGATGGTTGGGACACATCCAAAGGATGGGAAATACGAGACTGCCAAAAAGAATGCCAATAAAAGGAATAGGAGGGAAAAGGAAGAAAGGCAGACCGAAAACCAGATGGAAGAAGGATGTTGAAAAACACATAGAAAAACTTAAAATACCAAACTGGAAAAATAAAGCAACAAACAGAAAAGAATGGAAAAGAATAGAAAATCAAGCCATGGGCCTTCTAGGCCTGGAGAGCTAAATTATATATATATATATATATATATATATATATATATATATATATATATATATATATATATATATATATATATATATATATATATATATCGCAAAAAGGAGTACGACCGTCTATCCAATGTATAATAAGGATCACTCAGACGAGTGGTGGGTTCAAATATCGGTCTACTAGGTGGAAAAATAAAAGACAAAGTTGATACTACTTCATCTATTTTGAAGACGTGTCGCTATCGAATTCTGATAGCATCATCAGTTCATCTAAAAATTTTACATTATGAGTACCACACATTCATGAAGAAGATGTTAAATAGTTACCTTTAAAAAGATATGTAGTTGTCAATGGTATTAAAAAGATAGTACAAAAACTCAAATAAATGGACATCATATGGTGATATTGTATAAACAATTAAATAACTAACAACATTTAGAGACTTAGTAAAAATTAGCAAAGCAACAGAACACGTGGTCTAATAAGCATATAATATTTTATATAATATTAACTAGTGAAAAAGAACTAAGAAAATCATTGATTCAGTTCCAACTATGCAAAAAATTTTATTTTATGACCAAAAGTTAGGATGAAGTCATAAAATAAAATTTTTTGCATAGCTGGAAGTGAATCAATGATGTTCTTAGTTCTTTTTCACTAGTTAATATTATATAAAATATTATATGCTTATTAGACCACGTGTTCTGTTGCTTTGCTAATTTTTACTAAGTCTCTAAATGTTGTTAGTTATTTAATTGTTTATACAATATCACCATATGATGTCCATTTATTTGAGTTTTTGTACTATCTTTTTAATACCATTGACAACTACATATCTTTTTAAAGGTAACTATTTAACATCTTCTTCATGAATGTGTGGTACTCATAATGTAAAATTTTTAGATGAACTGATGATGCTATCAGAATTCGATAGCGAAACGTCTTCAAAATAGATGAAGTAGTATTAACTTTGTCTTTTATTTCTCCACCTAGTAGACCGATATTTGAACCCACCACTCGTCTGAGTGATTCTTATTATATATATATATATATATATATATATATATATATATATATATATATATATATATATATATATACCTATATATATATAGAGTGTGGAAATCACTTATGGAATAAAATTGTTTGTGTCCTTATTTTAGAAAATAATAAAAAACGTTGAGATACCTTAACTTTTAAATTTAAATGTACGCTTTTTAGATATAAATTTGAATGTACAGGGTGAACAATGCAAGTCTGGCATAGTGCATAATCTGTACTTTAAATGAAACACCCTGTATATTTTCATGTTTTTAAAAGCTCCTTAACAACCTGATTTTAACGAACTATATTATGTATGGTCTATTATTAATAATACAAGGTGAAATTTTGAAATTAGGTATTTTCTTCAAGACAATGAATTCATAGAATATCCCAGGTAATTGATTGGATTGCATTAAAATAAATGCTCAACATGTTCTCCACCTTGTTGTTGGCAATAACACAGTCTCCTATAAAACTCGTTCCGAACTTTGTTTAAAGTTTGAGGTGAAATATTCCGTATTTCTGTAGTTATCCTTACTTTTTAAGGTCTTCAATGATAGTTGATTGTGTCGCATATACTTTGTTCTTGAGATAACCCCACAAAAAAATTCAAAGGCGTAAGATCTGGCGACCTAGCTGGCCGCTCACTAGTACTCTTCATCAAATCCACTTATTGAATATGATTTCATTTAAGTAATTTCTCACCATTAAAACATAATGGGGTGTTGCATCGTCCTGCTGGAACCAGACAGTTTCATGCGGTAACGTCAGATCTATTGGATTGGAATATAAGTTAGCCAACTAAGGAAGAACATCGTCTCTTAGCATGCTAAATTTTTTTTGGCTGTCAAATTATCATCTATAAATATAGGACCAATAATATGATCTCCTATAATACCTGCCCAAACATTCAACTTTTGATGATACTGAGTGTGTGTCTCACGTATCCAATGAGGATTCTTCTTATATATATATATATATATATATATATATATATATATATTATATATATATATATATATATATATATATATATATATATATATATATATATATATATATATATATATATATATATATATATATCGGTTTTAAAACGTTCTCCTACGTCTTCCGATGCCTAGTCGCCATTCACTTCGGTCCATCCAAAGGTCTTCATCTAATTCTCTTTCTCTCATACTTCGATTTATGCCTTCTCTCCAACTAAGGCGGGGTCTTCCTCTTTTTCGTCTACCATGAGGTGTCTACGTTAGGATTTGTTTCGGGAGTCGTTCTTCGGACATTCTTTGTACGTGTCCATACCATCTAAGCTGTTTGGTACTAATGTCATCTACTATTGAGTGTTTCACATTCATTATTTCCCTAATTCTGTTGTTGGTTACCCTTTCTAATCTTGATTTTCCTGCTGAGCGCCTCCAGAAATCCATTTCTGTTGCTTCAAGTTTTCTCTTGTATCTTTCTTTTATTTGCCATACTTCACTGCTATAAGTGATTATACTCTTAACAATTGTATTGTATATTCTATGTTTGTTGTTGTTTGATATTGCCTTGTCCCACAGTATGCTATTGAGAAGGGTAATTGCTTTTCTTTCCTGGTTGTTTCTTTCTTCTATCGTCCGGTCTACGTTTCCTTCTTGTGTGATGGTCATACTCAGGTATTTATATGCGTCGCAATGTTTAATAATTTTGCCAGTCCCCAGTGAGGATTCTCCGCTGACCAATATCTATAGATTTGTAAGTTTACCTCACCGTTCAATGTAAATTATTTTGGTTCATCAGAAAAAAGAATTGTACCAAGAGCTATTTCATTTGTTAATTTTATCCCTCATTCTTTTGCAGAAATCCGTTCT